CACAACTCCGGGCTCGCAGGACAGGCTTGTCCTGGCAGGGGTGATGCGGGATGAGACTGGGGAGCCTGGCGTCAGCCCGGCCCTTCGGGGACCGCGCGGGGCTCGGGCAGGCTCTGCAGCGCTGCCCACGTTGGGGTTTGCTTCCCTGCTCCCTCCCTGTCCCCTGCAGAGCCAAGGCGAGGGTCTGGGGGCCTTGTGGGCATGGCTAGAAGGCTGCGGCCGTTGTGTGGGTGCTGCTGTTGGAGGAGTGCAGGTCACCGATGCTGCCCCCCCCCGGACACAGGCGTTTGAAAGCATTTTACAGCTGTGCCTGGTGTAGCTCAGCCCAAGGGAAAGGTCCTGTAGTGGGGGGAGCCTACAGTGGGAATTGGTGAGACCATGAAGCAAAATGGATGGAGGCCTTTCTCCAACAGCAGGGAAAGCATCACATGGGACCCAGGATAAATCTCACAATACAGCCTATCCCTGAATATGGTTTAGCTCCAGAGACAGGGAGCGTTGTGCTGTGGAAGCTGCGGTGCCCGGCCCTGGGACAGCACAGCACAGCACAGCAGCACAACGCTTGGGCTGCAAGGCCAGGCATGGTGGAAAGATGCTGCTCCCACAGCTAATAGAGGGCACATTTTTCCTGGTACGAGTACCCTTCAATGCCCATATTCAGTGCCCCAAAAGCTGCACATCTATAACCTCCAAGAAGATGTCAACAGACGGTTTTCACTATGTGAATAACCACTGAGACTGTGTGTGCACTTCAAGTGAGAGACAAAAAATCAAGGCCATTCAAAAGTGCCTCAGACACAGCAAACGGGCCTGGGGATATTATCTGAGAAACTGCCTAAGGCTTCCATAGCACAAGTCTTCCTTGGAGCATACTGAGCCTTCACCTGCTATGGAACAGCTATGGAAGCTCTTCCCTGTGAGGGTGCTGAGGTGCTGGCACAGGGTGCCCAGAGAAGCTGTGGCTGCCCCATCCCTGGCAGTGCTCAAGGCCAGGTTGGACACAGGGGCTTGGAGCAAGCTGCTCCAGTGGAAGGGGTCCCTGCCCGTGGCAGGGGTTGGAGCTGGAGGAGCTTTGAGGTCCCTTCCAACACAAACCAGGCTGGGGTTCAGCTCCTGGCTTGCACATCAGTTGTGGTTTTTCCTCCTGAAGCTGCTCGTGGTCGGAGTCACAGCAGTGACCCCAGGCCTCGGGGCCTGGGATCTGGCTTGAGAAGCCCCCAGCACCTTGGCAAGGTGAATTTAAAGAGCTCTGACGATCTGCAGCTAGAGGCTGGCAGAGGTTCCTCGCCCAGCCGGCAGCAGATCTGGCAGCAGAGCCCACTCCCAGCTCCTGCCCACTCCCACCCCTGGGGACAGCTTGCTGAAGCTGCTTCTAGGGATAAGGGGGGAAAACCGGCGTCTAATTCAGTCCCCCTTGCTTTCTGCCAAGCATACAGGCGTGCTCAGCAGGCAGCCCCTCTGTGGTGGTTAGTACTGCGGTGTGGCACATGGGGTGCAGCTCCAGAGGGAGATCCCAGCATCCCCAGACAGCCTCAGCCTGGGCACTGGCTTTGGTCACCAGCACACAGGAGACCTGGAGTCACATCCCACCCCTCCTGCTGGTCCCACTCCATGTGTGTCTGGTCGAACAGCTTCTGAAGGAATAATCCCTGTACCATCTACACTGCACATCCTGCGTGATTCCAGAAACTGATGGCATTGCTGATCCGAGAGGAGCAGCAGGTTTTGGAGTCCCAGCTTGGTTTGGGTTGGAAGGGACCTTAAAGCTCATCATCCACTTCCAGCCCCATGGCACAGGCAGGGACCCCTTCCCCTAGAGCAGGTTGCTCCAAGCCCCTGTGTCCAGCCTGGCCTTGATCACTGCCAGCTGAGACTCATCCATGAATTACCTCCCTCACCCTGCAGTCCTTTCAGGTTTGGGGGTCTCGGTGGGTATCGCTCTGGGCTGCTGGTTCTGACCACAAGTGGGCAGGGGAATTCGGTCGCTGAGTAAGAGGTGGCCACGCTCTTCAGTGAGAACTTTCTCAAGAATCGATTTGTCCAAACCCTTCTGAGCAATAACCCCCTGTCAATATCATCTCTATAGTTTTGGTTTTGCTGCTGCCTCAGTCCTGATCTGAGCATTCCGTGAACTCAGCTGTGGACACACAAATGGTGGGGAAAGCAGAGGCACGGGAGCATCGCTGGGGTGTCTGCTCCCCTGGCCCACGCGGGCACTCTGCATTGCTGTGGCAGGGGAACGCATATTCATATCCCTTTCTTAGTGCAAATTAGCAATTACTCTCCCCTGATCTCATGGTAGCCGTGCCCACCTCGAAAGAATTGCATCGAGATGAGCCAAAGCCACACTGAGTTTTGGCATCTGGTTTAATAGCTGATTGTAGTGAGGGCAGGTACCTGTTGGCCAAAATCGTCATCGTTGTTGGGATGCTTCTGACTTCCACTTGTGTTGCTGGTGCCAAAGAACAGCAATTTGTGAGGAGGAATAGCTGCAGCCCATGTGCGTGTGTAGGGGCGCGGACGGTAAGAGCAGGGGCTTGCTGTAAGGGTTTCTTTGCTGCTTGCCTGAGATGAAGGCAGCGGTCACTGGGAGCGGAGCAGAGGTCGGTTGTGTCTCTCCAGCATGGTCCAGGGCCGTTCATGGAGTGACAGTTGTGAAAGCAAGATGCCGTGTGTGGTTTCTCCCTGTCCTTGCTCTGCTTTGGCTCAGCAGCCCAGGAGGGGGTTTCTCCTCTGACACACAACCAGAGGCAATGGCAGTGGCTCCAATGGACCAGGGAAGGGGGTGTCCTAGGGAAGGCAGGGAAATGCAGTCTTTGTGTCTCAGAGCCTGGGCTTTCCTCCTGCTGGGTTTGGGGATGGGTCTCTGTTAGGGGGGGTCTGGGCTAAAAATGAATCCAGGCTCATCAGGAAATAAAAGGATAAAGTGCGGGACTCCTCTTGGCTGCGCTTGAAGGAGGGATCTCAAAGCAAACCCTGAGTCATGCACTCATCTGCACTAAGGGCGTTCCAGTTTGGGGTCTCACAGCACTGAGACAAGCAGCCAGCACAGAGGAGCTGGTCCCTTGGGGATGCTTTTGGGCTTGTCATTCCCATCGTGGGTTTGGATGCCTGAGCCCCCCCGAGCGGGGACCACGCGTCTGTGGGGGGCTGGGACCAGGCCTGCCCGCTCCGCTCACCTGCGCCGGGTGTTTTGATCCAGCAGAAAGCCCTTGAGCTGGTGACAAAGGTCTGGATGTGGGCTGGAAAGTACAGTCCTGTCTCTTAGCAACTGGTTCCTACCTCTGAGCTCTCGGAGCCGTGTGTGGGACAGAGAGCATCAGTCACGCTCCCGCTGCAGCAGCAACGCGCCAAGGAGGGATGAGGAGGGGATGAGGAGGGGACGGGGGTCAGGCCGGCTCCTGCCACCACCAAGGTGCTTGGAGAAGCTCGCGCATTTCCAACGCGAGCAGGCATCTGTGAGTCCTCACGGAAGCTTTGCTTTAATTGCTTTCCCTGTGCCCGGCTCTGCACAGCGATTGGAGCTGCAGCGCCTGCCTCGGAGGCTGCTCGCACAGCCCTGGCTTTTGGTCACAGGGGTGGGGACCAGGGAGGGAGGAGGAAGAGGGAGGACACGGCCCGTGTGTTTCTAGAAACATTCGATGTCACCGGGTCCTTCCCCGCACTCCTCTGCTCTTAGGAATCCCCGTCCCTCTCTCAGACATTTGCATCGCTCTCCTCCCTCCCCGTGCTCGGTTCTGCTGCTTCACCCTCGTGGTTCCTCCTCCGGACCAGAAGCAGCTCCCCTCTGGTGAGCGTTTCTCAGAGGCTCCCTTGCCAGGCACTGTTTCATAAACATTTTCACGAATCCTCTGCTTTGGCCTCCTAATTAACCATCCAATTGCCCCCCAGTGGAGCCCTCACCTCGCCCGTGAGCATCCTGCTTGCACAGATTATAACCTGTCAGCTGCCAATTTATTCCTCACGCAGAGGGCAGGTTATATTAATTGCCTGGCTTCCCTGCCCCGTTCGCTTTGCCCTCCCTTTCTCTGCTCCCAGCAGCAGCCCTGTTTGGAGATGCAGGCTCACAGGAAAGCGGGGGGACCCAGATGTGAGGCTGCTCCACACGACCCGTGTGTCCAACCTGCGGGGATGTGTCAGTCAGAGCAGATGTGAAGGGATGTCGCTGGGCTGTGTCAGACCTGGGAGAGGGGTCTCTGAGGAGGGATTACCATGACGGGGCGTTAAAGAACATGCTTGACTTCTGCTCCCCCCACGTCAACAGCTCTCAGTCACCAGCTCAAAAAGACCCACTTGGTTGTCCCAGGTTACTGAGGAATCCTTCCTGGCTCTAATTTACACGTCAGAGCTCGGCTTTTGGAAGGGTTGGGATCCACCTAGTGTGGTTATGGTGGAAACAAGGCACAATACAGAGGTTTACTGGAGTGCAGGGAGGGACCTAGCAGATACCCATTAATATCTCTCCCCTTGGCCCCCAGCTCCACGTACAGCACCTGCACCCTTGCAGAGCCATTTGTGCCCCCAGAATAAATGCTCTCCCTGAGGGTAGCTGCCGTTTTTGCTGGGTTCCTGTGCTGGAAAAGGGGGTAATGGAGTCCAGTATGACCAACAGGGTTCAGCACCATCCACATTTGAAGTGCGGTGTTCCTAAGCCCAGTGGGTGCTCAGGGGGAGCGGCAGCAAGCAGTGTGGTGGTGCTCAGGTGTAAAGCAGGATAGTAGCTGAAGCCGCTGTGGCACAGCATGGCACGGCATGGCATGGCACGGCATGGCTTGAGCCCCGCAGTGCCTTTACCTTGGTGAGGAGGCTGTGTTTTGGGAGGGGAGGAGAGGCCGTGCAGCTGCTCACCCCCTCGGACGGCCGCTGAGCTGCCAGCGTGTTCCTAGAGGCATATATTGCTGTTCCTGTGACCCACATACTCGGGGTTGCCAGGGGTGGGGAGCTGACACCAGGGTGCTGTGCATCCCCGGCTCAGCCCCTCAGCCCGGCCTGGCCTTGGCTCCCTGCAGCAGCATCAGTGGTTTGTTTTACATAGTTCTGCTTGAACCTGCGGCTGCTCCTCCTCCTCCTCCTCGGTTTCGTTTTGACATCACCGTGTCCTCGCTGGGGTGCGATGATGTCACCCGGCTGCCCTGTTCTGCTGGGCCTGTTCCCAGGAAGAGAGGGGTCACCTTGCTGTGACAGGGAACCTCATTGCTCGTACCACGCCTCGTCCCCCTCCAACCTGAAGGATTTTGCTTCGGTGGTGATCTCCATTAGATTAGTGCCTCGGTGCTGGGAGATGGCTCACGGTGATAACTTCAAGGAAGAGCCAACTCTAAACACGTCCTGCGTTTGTGTTAGTGATGTATTTTCAGATTCTTATAGATTTCTCGTTTTAGCTTTCTTTCAGGATGCTATGGAATATAAACACTCTTGTCATTATAAATGCAGTTTACCATTTCCCCCCTTTTTTCCACATTGGTAGCATGTCTCCACCCAAACCAAGATCCAAATGACACTAAGAAATGGCTACCCATCTTTGCAGGTTTATTAAACCCGCCCAAACTCACATTTTAACTCTGCCCATTTAAAAATAGCGAGAGATGCTGCACCATTATAATAATCCCCTAATAATAATGTCTGTGATACCTTCCCTGTTTGAGCCATGGCGTGATGCTTTCCTGCACGGGTCATGGCACACCGCAGTCCCCAGTCCATGGGTGGGATGACCAGGGCCTCAGGAAGCTGTTTCCTGGGCAGGGCAGTGGGATGCTGTGGGCAGGGCAATGGGGTGCTCTGCTCCCGAGGTCGCAGCAGCATCTCTCACCAAGCCCAAGGCACGGTGCTCACCTGGCAGCTCAGGCTGCTCCATGCACCCGGTGTTTTGTTACCTCGGAGCAGCCTGCTCGCCTGCCCTGTAACCCTGCCTGTGGGCAGGGCACTGCTGCCTCCCTGCTCACTCCAGGCCCGTGGGCAGCGGGGTCATGTCTATTGGGGAGCGCCGTGTCCCAGATCCAGCGGCTCTTCCAGCTTCCCTGCCGGCTCGCAGACAGGCAGCTCTGCCCTCCTGCACCGTGCAAAATGTCCTCTGCCTCCTGGGCACAGCAGGCATCCCAGCAAGCCTTGGAGCAGGCATCCAAGCAAACCGCGGAGCCTGCATCCGAGCAAGCCCATGGGTCTCCCAGGCTTCTCCTCCCTTGTCCAAGGCAGGCCTGGGTTGGAGGGCAGCCCCATTCCCGCAGCCCACCCTCTCTGCAGCTGGAGGCAGGGCTGCCTTTTCCAGGCTCGCTGTGTTTTCATTCCCAGGCCTGGGAGCCAGGAGGGGAATAAGCTGAGGTTGGAGCAAAGGCCTGGACCCACCTCACCAGCTCAGCTGTGGCTGCTGAAAGAGCAGCTCTCTCGTGCACGGCGCCGGTGCCCCACTGATCCCCACAGATCCACCTCAGCTCTGTTTGCTGTCTAAACCCACTGCCCCCACTGCCCCTCACACGGAAGTGTTTGCTTTGCAAGGAGGAAAAAACCTCGTGTACAGTTCTGGGCAGAGGAACAATGTGAATGCACCAGCGCAGGCTGGATGAGGCTCAGCACGTCAGCAGGGCCAGGGCTGGTGGTGCTGCAGTAAGTGGGACTGTAGCTGTCAGTGCAGGATGGGGCCTCGTGTTTGCTTGGTGGTTCGTGCAGAACGACATATAATTGCTTGGTGCTGAGAAACACCATCAACATTTTAGCAACCCTCCTTTTCCCCTGTTTTTCAAGCAGAAATGATCAGAGAAAAAATTCCCAGCAAGATATTTCCAGGAGAAAAAAAGAGCAAAATCCATAAGAGCATTTCCCATCTTCTCCTCGTGGGTTCTTTTTATTAGGAGCCATGCAGCTGATATTGTTCTCCGCCTGGCTTGTCCCCAGTGCCTGTTTCTGAGGCACGCACCGTGCCCATGGCATGGGGGACACGAGGAAGAGGGAAGTTCGAGGAATCTAGCTCTTCTTTCTCCTCGCAGCATTAGCAGAGGGAGCCTGCTGTGGTTTAACATATCCCCCGCAAAAGCTGCTTTCATCCTACACCTAAATACCAAGAGGAGTGAACTTCCTAAAGCCCTGGAGAAGTCTAAATATAGAAGCCAATCAAGGGCTGACTTCCCAGAGATGAGAAGTACCAGGAACAGTTTCTTGATCAAAAGTTGTAAGAGTCCATATTGAAATAAAAAGTCTGGTTTGGTGCTGAAGCCTGAGCAGGAGCAATGGCAGCGGTGGGGGTGCTGCTGGTGGTGCCGCGGCTGCCCGGGGGATGGACCGGAGGTTCCATCTCTGGAGCCCCGGTCGGGGATGTCTCTGGCAGGGTTTCCTCCCTCGCTGTCGTGGTTTCTGGCCTCTGTAGGTGCCAGCTGCTTTCTCCTCCATCCGCTCCCTGCTGCTGCTGATCATCGTCTGCAGAACAAAAATTTCCTTAGAGCAAAGCACAACTTGCAGGGAATTAGGAAAGGAAAGCACCTGAAAGAGAAGAGAGCAGCAGATAAAGCACAAACCCAGGTTTGCTAATCTCAAAACAGGTATGTGAGAGCAGCTTTGTGGATGCAGCAGAGGGAAGCACCAAGGGCTTGCAGGGATGGTGAGGGACGGCTGAGACAGCGCTGCAGCGTGGGCTGTGGAACCTGCAGCCGTGCTGTGGGGCAGCCACTGCAGTGTGGGACCAGGGAACCCCCGGCGGGGGCCCTGCAGCCGTGCCCTGCTCCGCAGGGAACACAGGCAGAGCGAGCACCGCTGCCTCGTTCCTGCCTGCAAGGGAGGTGACCTTGAGGGGCAGCTCGATAGAGCCGGCCCCAAACCTCCCGTGCGGGTGTCCCAGGGATAAGGGTGACCGCGGCCCTTCCAGCCAGCCACAGGAATGTAAACGTTGAACGTGCTGAGCGCCTGCACTGGGGCAGGAGGGGAGATGCTGTGGCTGGGAGATACAGGGACGAGCGCTTTCATGTGGGAAGCGCGAGGAGAGGCGCGGGCAGAGGGTCTGCTCCCTGGGCACAGAACAGAGCGCAGCCATTATCAAGCAGGGCTCTGCCTGCAGGAAGCGGCTTTTGACTCACAGGAAGCTGAATTCGGCTGGTATCAGCCCCTCGCGCGAAGGCCAGGGCAGCGCTTTATCTGTTGGTGAGCACAGCAGATGGGGAAGCAGTCGGCGCTCCCTCCCATCCCGCTGCTGCTCCCGTGCTCCCTGCCCGATGGCCTGCTCCGTGCACCCCGCTCCGAAAAGGGAGGCTTCCCTGCGGAGCAGCGAGGCGGGGGCAGCTTCCCCGGCCCCAGGGGAGCCGCCAGCCCCGCTGGAGGGGGCAGATTGCCCCGGCCAGCCCGTGCAGGGCAGAGCCTGGAGCCTCCAGGCTGCTGAGCCCAACCGGCCAGGTACCGGATGCTCCTGTAGAGGAGCCGGGACCACGCTGCCTCCTGGGCTCCCCGCTCAGCTTAAACCCTCCCATCTGCTCCCAGATCAGGGTCCGAGGCGGGGCCGGGCTCGCAGGGACGGGAGCGCTTCGCAGGGAGGCCGCTGCTCATCCCTGGCCTCCCCGCGGGGCTGACCCCGGCCGGAGTCCGGTTTCGCACGGGGCGGTGGCGGCCCGCAGGGGCTCGGGGTGGAGGTCACCGCGGAGGGGATCGGGTGGCAGCTGCCGGCCTGAGCGCCGCTGTCCCGCACGGAGCCCGAGCGCTGCTCGGTGCCGCGGTCCGGCCGCGGGGCCCCGTGATGGCAGCTTCCACACGCACAGCGGGCAGCGAGGGAGGGCTGCGGGGGCTGGAGCGCAGGGAGCCGGGCTGCAGGAGGCCGCCGTGGGTGTGTGAGGATGCTGCTGCCGGGCTCCGAGGCAGGGCAGGTCCATGATGGGGACAGAGCGGGGCTGCCACGCGGGGTACGGGGAGGGGCAGGGGCTGCGCTGCCCCCGGCGCTGCTCGCATCAGGGTCTGAGATGCTGCAGCCCGGGTGCCCGCGGCCCGGAGGTGCCCGCAGCCAGGCCCGGGCTGGTCGGGGCTTGCCCACAGCCCGGGGCCCCGCCGAGGGGCCCCTGCCCGCGGCCGGTCCGTGCCGGGCGGGGCCCTGCGGGGGCACCGGGGCGGGCGTGAGGCGGAGCCAGCGGCGGGCCCGGCCCGGCCCGGGGGAGCGGATTACCGCCGGCAGCGCGGCCCCGCCGGTTGCCATGGTTACCCCGCTACCTGCGGGCGGGCCTCAGCCCGGCCCGGCCCGGGCCGCCCTCGCCTCCCCTCCCCTCCCGCCGCCGCGCAGATGTCCCGGCCCCGGGACCCACGGCCCCTCCCGCCGAGCCCCCATCCCGAGCGGGAGGGCGAAGGGCCCGGCCCCGGCCAGCGGGGGATGGAGCGGGGAGGGCGGGAAGGGGTCCCCGCAGCGGGGCCCTGGCGTGCCCTCGGCTGCGGGAGGGAGCGCAGGGCAGGGCCGGGAACAAAGGTGCCGGGGCCGGGCCCGGCGGGGAGCGCTGCCTGAAACGGCGCTCGCCTCCCCGCGCTCCTCCGGCAGCCACCTCGGGGCATCGCTCCCGGGGATGGACGGGGCCTGGCGGGCCGGGAGCGGAGTGTGATGGGGCGGGCGGGGCGCGGAGGGGATGCAGGGGAGATGCGGGTGCAGAGGCCCGAGGGGTGGCTGCCGGGAGCTGCCGCCGCGGTCAGGGGGACGTGAGGAGGAGGCGAGCGAAGAGACGTGGGCCTGGAGGAGATGGGGAAAACAAAGGAGAGTGGGAAGGGAAAAGACCCGATGGATAACCTGGGGGAGAGGAAGGGCGGGAAGGTGGGCAGGAGGTGGGAGAAAGGGGGTGAGGTACATCCATCCCTGTGGGATGGGGCATGCAGCTGTGGAAAAGGAGAGACTGGGAAGGGGGAGAGGCAGACTAATGCTGGGCAAATGTCGGGACAAGGAGGATGCCTGTAAGGTGGCAAAGGGAATTCCTCCCCTCAGCACCTGAAATGCTGCCTGGTTCCAAGCGCTTGTGTCGAAGCTGAGCTTCGCTCCTGAAATCTTCTACTCATTTTGGGGGCAGGTGACTTCCAATAGAGCCCCAACACCAGGAGGAGGTAAAAGCATCCCTTATACCCATCCTTCCCAACTGAATTTTTATTGCTTTTTAAACCTAAGGGGGTTTTGAGCCGCTCTGAGATATTGTGGGCTCTGACTCATGCCTTGAATACTCATGAGCAATGCTGGGTGGGGAAGGAGTAACCAGGGGGGCGTGGGCCCCTCTCAGAGCTAGTGTGTAGCGCCTGTGTCCCCTTGCATCCTAGGTCAACCCTGGGTTATATCGGCAGATAAACCTTGTAATCCTGGAGGCACTGACTTCATCCAGCCGCTTGTATCCCACTTGCATCTCACCTGCTTCCCAGAGCTAAATAATCATCGCAGAGAGAGAAGTCACAAGGCTGAGGGGGGATGGAGAGACACGAGGAGGCAGGGGAGGGATGTCGAGGAGGCAGCTCCGGCATCCGGCCAGGACGGAGAGGCAGGCTGTATGAAGGATGAGCAGAGCGGCTCTGGTGATGCCCAAACCTTAACTGCATTCATTTTGAAAGCGAGGAGGAAGCAGGGAACCACCGGTGGCGCAGGGAGGAGGGTGTTAGCTGCCTGGGATGGCCTTGGAAATAGGGGTTTGTGTATGGGGTTGGGAACAACCTTAATTTTGAGGGCTCTGTTTGTTGCGTCTGACTGTGCTTTTCTCCCACTGCATTCATTTTCCTTTGTCCTGTTTCTGTAATTATCCTCATTTCAACCCTGCTCTGAGGGATTATTGGTCAGTGGGAAGCCTCCTAATGCCCGCTCCTCCCTGGCAGGGGGATACCCGTGCCCTCGATTGAAGTGAAACTCCCCGAACGGTGACAGAAGGAATTAGGTCTGTATTCCTCACAGACACTCCCGCGGGCCAAGTTTCCCGACCCCCACCACGGCCGAGCTGCCACCCTGCCCCTTGTGTTCGCTCTCTGCATTCTCTTTGTTACAGCCACCTTCATGCAGGGCTCGGGACTCCCCCGGGAAGGCTGAGGTGGTTTGTGCTGGACCAACCCAGCTCACTGCAGTCTGTGCCCAGCACAGTGTCTGTTCCCAAATTGGGCTGAGGAGCCAGCTTTAATAGGCAGCACTTTGCAGGAAGATGTTGGGTAGTCTCTAGCAGAAGGTTGCCCCTCTAAATGAGCAGCGTTTGTTCAGCATATAGACCATATAAAATAGCCAGAGCCCAACCACCAGTAACAACAAAAATCAAGGTTAGGACGCTGGGTGTTCCCTTTGCATGCAGACCTCTGCCAGGCTCTGCCTGCACTCCTGCTGTGTGAATATACATGAAAAAGAGTTTGCAGGTCATGTAGACGTGTAGGTTGCTGCTCAGCAGCCTGGGGTGCACCAGCTGGATGGCATCGATGCATGCCTCAGGAAGGCAGGCCTCAAAGGGACGTGGTCTGGGTATATATCTGTATGGATATGTATATATAATACATAGGGTTTGGTATGCATACAGCTCTCTGAGCAACAATGGCATCAATTCAAGGAGCGAGCTGAGTGACCTCCCAAAGCCCGGCCCTTCCTCAGTGCCTGCTGCCTCCCAGTGCCCTGCCCGCGCCGGTGCTTTGTGCCGGGCACCGGTAGCAGCTGCGGGTACCAGCGGCTGTCTCCCCTTCCCCCGGCACGCCCTGCCAGCGGGAGCTGACACCGGCGGTGCCAGTCGGCTCGGAGGAGCACTGCTCCCCGCACTTCCCACTCCCATCAGTCTGTCACCACTGCCGTGTGGCAGAATTACTGCCTCCTGCTCTCCAGCACATCCGAACACACAAAGAGCTGTGCTGCTGCTGCCAGCGCTCAGCTGCTCTGCGTATGCGAGAGAGGGAGGGTGCCTTGGAAAGGTCAGTGCGGGGAAGGAGGGAGATGCTGTCTCCTTCCTTTAGGGGCCGTATCCTGGCATCACAGTGAAACCTTGTCCTGCCAGCAGCTGATCTGTATCCGCAGGGTCTGCAGCCCAATGTCACAGGGCTTCCCAGGGTGGTTTAGTGCCATGTGCAGATCCAAAGAGCTTCCCTGCCTGTTCCCTGCTTAGCAGAATCACCCTACATTATGAAAATTCAATTTCTGGCTCCACTCTGGACTCTTCCCTTGTTTTTGTTCCTGGCCCAATTTCACTGGCAGCTTTAGCAGCACAGCAGCAGCTTCCACTGCCCTGGCTACAGCAGGATCCTCCCTGGAGCCCTGTTTAATTCATCCCCCACATCCCCTGTGCCCAAGGCAGCAGCACCGCGCCGCTGCCCCCTCCGACCGCGTTAGCCCCGGGCCCATCTCGTCACCCCTGTCACCCACTGCTGACACTAACTCAACTTGCCTGCACTGTTGTAGGGGGCAGATGGACTGACGGAGCCCGAGGGCATCTCTCTGAAGCGCGTGGCCGTGGTGGAAGATTTCTTTGACATCATCTACTCGATGCATGTGGAGAGCTCGTCGGAGCCGGGCAAAGCACCCAAACATGCCGGGCAGAAGAAAACCTACCGAGCGGTGAGAGTCCTGCCCCGCCTGCCCCGGGAACCAGGGGACGGGAGCAGGGGTGAACCACGGGGATGGGGACCACAGGGGGAGGTACCAGCAGAGCTGCTGGTGGGAGGCAGAGGTGAAGGGCAGTCCTGATGGACGCCTGTGCAGGGAGGCAGGGGAATCGGTTAAAGGCAGAGCAGCAGGGCTGGGGAGCTGGGAGACCCACCTGCAGCAGCTGCACAGCAGTGCTGCGGCTTGGAGAGGGGGAAAGACCAAGTGAATTGTACAAAGACAACTGTATGTGTCTGAGGGAAAAGAGAAACGTTTGGTATCACTGATGGCCGAGGGGATGTTTGCCCAGTCCCCTGCATGCTCTGCTCTGTGCCATCTGCCTCCCTGTCTCCCTTGGCCAGAGGGAGATGTGTCGCGTGGGCCTTGAAGGGCAGGAGCAGGCAGGAAAGGGCAGGAGCAGGCAGCAAGGGGGGCTGGGGCCGGCTGGAGCCCGCCCCTCTCCCTCAGCCGGTGGATGCTCTCGCCAGCCCATCCTGGGTTTCCTCCGTTACAAAATGGAGGCAGGCACCGAGCTCAGCCTCATCAGGTGCTCCACGGATGCTGAGAGCCAGCTCTATCCATCCTGAAACCTCTCTAGTTAGGTCAGGAATAATTTAGCTTGAAGTGTGCTTCTCCAGGGAGCTTGCTGTTTCTCCTGACTCTGCACAGCCCTTCCATGCAAACATTTGGGCTCTCCTTTTACATGAAGAGCTGAATTTACTGTCCAAACCCGAGCTACTCCCTTGCATCCCGCAGCCCTAAGGACCAGGTCGCTTAGAGACAGAAGTGGCTGGCTGGCAGCTCGTGTCTCTGGTGTATACATCATCCTGGAGAGGTCTGTGCGGGCTGCCCTGCTCCCTGTGATGATGCTGGAGATTATGCAGGGCTTGGTGTGCTGCTGAAGCCGGCTCAGGGGTGGAGCCTGTCCTGCCCGCTTGTGTCCCTGTGTCCATCCACGGTCCGTCCTCTGCTGTTGGTGCTGGCAGTGCTGGGGGAGCAGCACAGTGCCCTGCAGCCCCCCATGGGTGTTGGGAGCCCCCGGGGAGCCACATTCTGAACCCAGAGCTTGAGGCATCGCTTGTGCCTTGCATCCCAACCCCTGTCCCTGCAGCAGAGCAGGCCTGGGGCGCACTTTGACCCCCCCGGCCAGGGGCAAGTGACCCCTTTATAATGTGGGGAGATGCAGTCCCGCCAGTGTGACCACAGTTCAAAGCCTTTCCGCTCGTTTCCCCAGCA